TCAAGAACATTTGTGAAGAAGTTAAGAGTTGCTTCATTTTGCTGAATGAAGTTTAATCCAATAAGATAAGATACAGCCAAATCTTTGATGACATGAAAACATTGGCCCACAGTGCTATTTGTTACTAATAGTTTTGCTTCAAAATATCCTAACAGTTGACAGTTCATCCTTCCATCTGCAAGATATTAGTTATCTTTATTCCAAGATTTTAGTTCAAATGTTGGATTACTTCTTTTGATTTGTTGCCATATATTTTCATTTAGTACTGAATAATGTGACTCCAAATCTATATGACTTACTACTTTCACACCATTAATTTTTAGAGTTAGTTGTGGCAGATTTGTTTTAGTTGTTGTTAAATAGTTAGTGGAGGGTTTAACGTTCACAGGATTCAAACTTCCTTTTTTGATCCCTTCTCTAATTTCCCGACTGCTGACTGCAATAAGGGTTCAACAACAAAAAACAAATAAACACATGCCTGGCCAAGACTTGACACTAATTGTAATAAACAATATATCATAAATATCAATATTATTTCAAATAGTGGAATCAGGAAAAAGAACCAGAAGGAAAAACCTAATTACAGGAAACAGTATTCCAAAAATATCTTCCAATATTAATAACAGTATCGAGTGATAATCAGTAACTAACTGTGTCATACGTTATCTATCTCGTGACTTTCTCTGTTAGTGAAACTTCAGGCAGGGTATTTATTCACCGAGTAGGTCATGAGAGTAAACCTCATGTGTTTTTAAGTTTACATAATCTTCTGCTACATTAATATAAGTAGTATCTGTACGTCACTGTTAGGGAAGCTGGTGTCAGTTTCACCATGCATATATATTTACTCAAAATATAAATGATTAGCTAGAAGGTAAGTTAGTGTTTTAATGCAACTAACAATTCATAGATAAACTAAAGAATAAAAGGAAATAATAAATTAATGATATACACAACCATAATAATAATAATAATAAATAGAATTTGCTATCTTTTGAGTGTAAATTACTGAAATAGGCTTCAACTGTAATGGATTGCAAAGTTTCTTCTTATATACATATATTTTTATATTGATTGTTATGTATTTTTTAACAAAAGTAACAAATATATAAATTAAACACTTATTAGGTTAAATAACAAAAAGTACATAAAAACTCAAATAAAACATTTCATGAGAGAGACTATCTGTTAGGATAAATAAATGTAATTGTTTGTTACAATCTGCAGTAATTCTTGGCGAAAAAAGTTATCATTGATTTTATTTCATATTTTTCAATATTTCACTAAAGTTAGTGCTAGGGTATAGAAAATAAGAGATAAAATATAATATTCTACCAAAAAAAACGTATGATATTCATTTAAAAGTTTCTAGCAGTTATGTAAATGAAATAAGAAACTTAAAGATTAAAAGAAGTATTTTTATTCTTAGCAAGAAAATTACTTTTCACTCGGACTGACTCAGTAAAGGCTTTGAAAGTTCACAGATAAATTTTTAGTAAAAATACTTTATTAAAAAATATGATTTTTTGTGTACAACAGGCTTGTAATGTTTACTTACAGCATGCTAAATTTTATCATGAAACTTATTACATTCAGGGTTATAGTATGTATAGCTTCATGGTTACGTGCTAGTTACAAGGTAAGTCAAAATGAATGAGCCTGTATAAAGAGAGTTAAGTGCTTTGACACATATACGTGTGTGCTGTAAAAGGAAATTCTGAGGATTGAACTGAATTAAACTACCTTTTGTCAAACAGCATGAGAAAATAATATTTATATCTGTGAATGCTTCTGAATTCCAAACTTTCACAGAAGAAGAAATGAAAATAATGTCTCTGATCTTTACTTCCTTCTCAATGCTGTACACTGAAAAAATGACTGTAACAGCCAAAACTGGCTTTCCTGAGCAGACTTTGTTCTATACAGGAAATAAAGCCACAGTAAACAACAAAGTTTGGGCTCTATTCTGTAACCAGAAATAAAATTCTACTTCATTTTAGAAGCATTTTGTCTTCATTATTCATTCTCTTGGAATTAGAGAACACTTTGAATACAAACCTATTAATTTTTGTTACCAGTAGATTTAAACACAATGGAGAACATTGAGAATGCTAACTGCCTTTATTGGCTGACTCAAAAAGTCAAATCATTCACTATGCCATATTGCTGTTTATTGGACAAATACTACTAACTGAAAATTAATGTAAAGAATTCAGCAAATCAGAAATTTTCAAGAGGATAAAACAATATACAAGTACTGTCATTCTCTACTTCATTCCATTGAATTGTCACAGTTAGTTCCTGCTCTAGTCATGGAACACAGGAACAATATTCCATGTCACTCTCTCTCACTGTCTTTCCATTTTCACCACATTATATGATGAATTTCTATGTATGGGCTTATTCTTTCCAGATCCACTACATACTGCACTGATGTTCTAGATTTACCAGCTCTCACTGTGCACCATTTTACTAAATCTAAATAGAGTGGATTAAACAAAATATCTGAAAGATGCTTTCTAATCTCAGAAAGTAATGGTCACAAATCTCTTCCAGCTTTTAGATGTTTTTGAACCCCTAGTTATCTCAAATCATGTAGACTGTTGATGTTCTAGGCATTATATATATACTAACTTTGAACTTGTGAATTTTAATAACGGATTAGAATGCCTATAAATGATACACATACATGTTTCTGCCACAAACATTTCAATATATATGCTAATATGAATATCAAATATACACAAAGGTAGAAATTATTTTGTTTTGTTTTTTACTAGATGGCTCAGAAAGTAAGAGTCGCATTTCATTTTTGGCCACTTCTTCTTGGTGAATTCTCTCCTACTTCATTAATTTTTTTTGATCTGCTCAAGATTGACTAATTTTACCAACAATACCTGATAGACCAGGGTGTTGTTTAGCCATCTCAGCATGTAGATGGATAGTAAAACTTAAACTGACCATCTTGTGCAGGGAGAGCTCAGCATTCAACAGTGGCCTCCTCCAAGCTAATTAAACTCCCCTATTCTCATTTTTGCATCAATTTGCTCTCCTTCTCTCTATACAAGCTCTTTTTCAGAATTCAGAGGCAGGCGTATCTTGGATTCTTTCTTATTAAGAACACAAGAATGAAGATAAATGTAACTCGAAAGGGATTAAAATACAAATCGGCTACCACTACTGCAGTAACTAGATCCTGGTCACTGACACAAAATTTGTTCATTCGAGGTAATCTGTGGAAATTCAAGACTGTTTAGAGGATGTAAGCTGTAGAAATAATGTGCAGCAGTTTGTGGCAGGTGAAATAAATTGTATTCAATGGTATTGAAGTTAGTGTAAAAATAAAGCTTTGTTTATCAAAGCACAGAAATAAAAATTAGGGAATTCTCATTGGCTGCAGCTGTAATTACATCTCAGTTGAGTCAGAAGATGGAGTTGTGAGCTAAAAGTTTGTACTTGAAAAAAACTCTGGGCCACTCTATGAGCCACTATGCTGCAGCTAAAAAGAAAATAACAGAAGTGAATGTAAATCAATGAAATGGGTTTAACTGCAGCTCAAATAGAAATGAGATGGTATAGCCTGGACTTCCATGACAAGTTTTGACTCTGTTAAAATGGCAAAATGTTCTTTTCAAAGCTCAGTTTGAATATTTTCTGAAAGTGCCAAAACTTCATATCACAGAACACACTTTTCTTGCAGCTGACCAAGCAGTAAAGGGCACTTTGATACAGAATTACCTCTGTTCTATATGACAGCCCCATGGGATCCTCCAACCATGTGGCTAGGAAGGACACGTTGCAACTATCCCACAAAACAATAGATAAGTTTCTGGACTGGCAGACCACAAATGTAATACCTTAGGGTGAATTTATCTCATGATCTCTACCAGATTTAGTGTGTGTTCCAAAATCAGAACTTAAGAGAAATTTTTAATATATTGTAAATAAGAAATATATACTAGGAGAAAGTAAGATATAGTACAACTACACTATGTCTGATGTATCCAGCTGGTCTGAAGAGCCCTCATATGAAGCAAAAGGCCTTGTTGGCACTGTATATAATAGATACGGTGTAGTTGTTATTATACACTCTTACTTTCACTAATAAGCTCTTAAAACTTTATGAGCTTCTGACAAGTTACTAAAATAGCAAGTTTTACAGGTTCCTGGGTTAAGTTTTATGTGATTCGTTAGAGAGACTGACTGTTAAGCATGATTACACTGTAATAAATTGGTACTATCTGGGGTTAAAGGTAATTGATTAAACATGTTTGGCCTCAGTATGTGCTTAATACAACATAAAGCTTAAGAAGTACATATTATCATAAGCCATTCTTGAGTGAACAGTTGTAATGTTCTGTTGAACAAATTGTCTTAGGACAGCTGGTGGTTCATACTATGAGTACTGGTCTAGAACCATATAGGATCAGTGTTAATTTTGCATGCAGCTGTCATGGTGCTATTAGACATTGTTGAATTCAGACCACTGTTGAGGAAATTGATCAGTTAGTACATAATCTGATGTGTTTTGCATTATACATTCATATCTAGTCGTCTTTTTTTCCTCAGGTAATTATCAGAGTTTAGCAGCCACAGTAAGTGTATTCCATTTTTGGTAGATTCTGAAGGCAGCTGTCTCTAAATACCGTAGTTGGACAAAGGTATGGTATTTGATAATGAGGCTTTTGCTACAGACAAACCAACTACATATATTTTGACCCTTTGAAAGTCAGTTAGATCCTCGTTCTTGTTCGTAATCTTATTGACTAACTATGATATAATTAAATCTCCGTATTTATAGAGCTGAAATGAAAAAGATGTCTAAAAATGCATGTTTGTGGTCTTAATGAAATGGCCAGTTGACATTTATTGCTTACATGAGTATCTTCATTTGTCTTAATATTTCTTAATGGTGTTTTTTAATTTATATTTTCATCAAAGTAATATCATTTATTATTCATAATCTACTAAAATGTACCAAATTATTGTCATTTTTTCAGGAAATGATGAACAAGTCATTGTGCATGACCCTAACACGTAAGTCAAACCTTTATGATGTGTATGTATGACTTGCTCATCCATTTTGATGTGTATTTTAAATCTAAAATATTTGACATTGTCATCCGTATTTTGTATACTTGTGTACATTTCAGGTCTAAGTAGTTTGTATGAATTATTATAATTTGCACTTCTACATATAAACCTGTACAATACCAGAATATGAATATATTTTGTTAGTTAATATGAAGAGAAGATGAATATGCTTTGTATTGTAAATCAGATTCATGTTTTACATATTTTTAATGAGACAAACTTAGGATATTTTATTAGTTCATGCTTAGTGGAGAGTGTAATGGATTATGTAGTAGAAAAATTGGGTGCCATTTAAAAAACTCTATAATAATATTTCAACTACAGTTGGATAGAAAATTAAGCTATATTGTATACTTTTTCATCCAGAATGTAGTTTGTTACTGTTGGCAAACATTTTGAAATCATACCGTAAAGATTGCAATAAATAAATCTAGAAAGATTTATCATTTCAGATATGGTGAATATACTGCTTTTTATCAAAATTGAGGATGGATATTATAAAACACACTGATGCATGGTCTTGGGCAGTTATAAACAGTAAACATTTTATGTAATCATGTCTGAATGAAAATTAAGCAGAATATGAGAATTTTCCCATGTTCTATTCTATATGTATAAAATCAAAATGTAGAGACGTACTATCGACTCTAATAATTGTCATTTGCAAAAAAACAGATCCATTTTCAATAACTAACCATGGTATATTTATGCTGAACTATGAAAAGCATACTGTCTTTACTCTCCATGTATGAATTTGGTCATTTTGACCAATCTTGCAACTGCTATGTTACTACCAAGTAACCATGAAAATACATATAGTATAATTTTATATGTAATAAGTGTATCTTCACAAAACTTGGCAAGCT